GATTGATACGCAATGCATTTGTGCATGGGCGTGGAAAATTGCATCGAAAGATAGGAGCTACTTCTCTGGAAGAATATTTTCATCAGTTATTTCCAACACTCCCACTTGTTCTTCATCAAATAATCAGAAATCATCCCTCCTGGAAAACACACCCTACCTTCAAGGAGTTTTTCCCTGTGATAAACCGTCACATAGTGTCCGATGCAGACTAAAGCAGTCAGGTTCGTATATTTCATTATGGTTTTCAGTATTCCTTTACTACCATCAGGGGCAGAGCTATGGGGGGGGGGGGGGGTAGAACACCCCCTAGCCGTCAAGCAGTCGGAAAATCATGAATTGGATAGGGGGGAAACTAAAATATCTGAGTGAAACTGATTTAAAACTAAGAATTTTAGCTGAAATTTTGGGAAATTTACAGAAAAATTGAGGAAAATCTAAAAGACCAGGGGTATGTTGACGCCGTTCCTGATCATCTGAGCCCATCATGGCAACATTTTCGGTTGACTGGTTATTGGATAATAAAACCACCATTTTGAACCCAGGGGCTGTGCTAGACCTTTTTGAGTGGGGGGGGGGGGGGACTGTAAGTGAATTTTACCGAGTGATCATGGCAAATTTTGCCGAGTTAGTGCAACCATTAAAATGTATATATTAGAAAAAAATATGTTTTAAAATAGGTTATTCCGTTTCAAGCTTGAAAGTAAACCTCTGGAACCGGGTATAAAGAGACTTGACGAAGGCCGAGAAAAATGCAATAAGCCAGACTACATATACTAGTATTATATTACAATCTACCACAAAAGGAAAGGCACACATGTAGCTCTGCTATTAATATTTTGTACACTCCCATGAAAAACTGAAATTTTTTGTGCCCTGCTACGTACCTACAACACAACATAAAATCAAAATATCACATGGCTGGTGTCCAAATGTCTACACATTCTGGGCTCGACATAATGTAGTTACCTTTGGCTTTGAGAATCTTATTGTAAAATCTACTGTACAATATTAAACAAGACTAACAAGTAAATCGACGTAAAAGCTTTTAATGTTTGTAAACAACAACAAATATAACGGCATGTTCAAACATAATAGACATGCATAAATATGGAAACGACGAAATTGAACGACGACGACTCAGAGAATCTCTGATAGGCACAGAAAAGTTTGAAAGAGCGTAACAACATCTTCAAAGCTGTTACTTGACTTGTCTGCTAGTAAAATAATGCAGAAGGCAGAAGAGAAATAAACAAAAATTTAGCAAGTATTTCGAATCATTCCACTCCTTGCAATTGAAGTGTAAAGTTTTCTTGTCATGTACGGAAGCATGTAATTTGTTACTTTTCTCCCACACCCCCTTAGCCAATACATTTTTGAAGAGACACGTGACCAGCCACAACCAGGGCACAGAGACCAAGGTCTTTCCTTCCCAAGAGGAGAGACCCTGGGAACCAGGTTGAATTATCACATGTTGCGTCAATTAAGTATTCCAGAAATAATGTTCTTTGTGATGCTTGTGATGTTACTCTGAGTGTATATCCACACCGAGCAAGCTTGAAAAATATGCCTGGCCACGGTGGAAATCGAACCTACGACTTTTGGAATACCAACCCAATGCTCTGCCAACTGAGTTCTAATGTTCTTTGTATTTTTTAAATTAAGAACACTAAATGTAAAGTGCATTTGTTTATTTTTTCATAGATTCATAGAAGGTCACAGCATTGAAGCGCTCGTTCCAGGGAAAGCAGTGCACCATCATGGCGTTACTGGCACTTTAAACAACATCAGATAAGATATTCTGTATACAGCTATTTCAATTAAGGTTGTCCCCCGAGCAAAGCGGAAAAATCGAATATGAGCGCGAAAGGCTGCTGAGAATCGCTAATAAATTCATTCATTTATTAGCGATTCCCAGCAGCCTTTCGCGCTCGTATTCGACTTTTCCGCTTTGCTCGGGGGACAACCTTAATTGAAATAGCTGTATACAAAAAAGAACAATTCACAATTTTCAATGTCCAGTGATATGTCACTCAGCATAAGCCTCGCAGTGCCTCGGAAGGTCATCTCCAATTGGATGGGGGTTTTCTAAAGAACGAAGCAATTCATTGTTGTAAACACAAAAGCAATTGTCAAATCGAGCCAATGAAAATCACTCTTCCGAGCTACTGCGAGGCTACCCTATGCTGCATATGTATTGTACAAAATTTTAGTCTAAAAGGAGTTTTAATAATTTTAGCCTATAGGGAAGCCTTTTGTCCACGAGAAACATCATATGTTCGTTTGAGGGGGGGGTTGCAGCTGTGACGTTTCTCTGCAAAACATCATGGAAAAGTTCGATAGTTTTTTCGAAACCCTTACCATTTCGGAATCATCTTTGCAGAATATAAAAGAGAAACCAACTTGATAAAAACATCAGTCTATACATTCGAAATGCCATACATGTTCTATACATTTATATTATTACGCCTTCCGGCCTTGCATTGAAAACACTCAAATTTCAAGAAAAACGCGCTAAAATTGTCAATGTTTCATCCAATGATGCAAAAGAAGTTGTTTTGAGAAACGTTGGAAATTTTGAAGTTCATGTGTATTAATAAAAAACATATGTCAGCAGAAGATGACATATTCCTCGCGGAAGCATCGCTAATAGGCGACCGTAGAAAATAGTAGAAAATTACCTCATGTGTACTATAAGAACAGAATATCGATAACTATGTGTGACATTTCTAAGGAGTAAGGGGGTCCATATTACGTTTCTCGTGGACAAAATCAATATGTGAGTATTTTAGTTTGCACATTACAGAATCGTGTAAAGAATATATACCACCGGGTGGCGCAAAAAAAAGTATAACTGTTTGATTACATATAGCTCAAAGACCATAAGCAGTAGAACCCAAAATCGAGTTGCATTGCATCCAGCGATGTCTAACTTAAATTTTGGTATACTCGACAGGCATTTTCGTCCAAGATTGACTGAGATATGAGTGTTTAAACTTTTGTTAGTAAATTTGAAACGGTCACAAATTAGCTAAAAACGGCCTATTAAACTGATTTTTAGCTAATTTGTGACCGTTTCAAAATTGTTAACAAAAGTTTAAACTCTTATATCTCAGTTACTCTTGGACGAATATGCCTGTCAAATATACCAAAATTTAAGTTAGATATCGCTGGATGCAATTAAACTCGATTTATGGTTCTACTGCTTATTGTTTCTGAGTTACAAGTAATCAAACAGTTGTACTTTTTTTTGCGCCACCCGGTATTAATCATAATTTAGTGACTGATAGTTTTAAAAACAATTTACAACAGTCTCAATTATCGTGATAATATCATGATTGCAGGTATTCCCTTTGTTCTCGCAGGGCAATTAATAACTAATACACCTCATTATATTCATTTTTTCTAATCCTACCCGCTTTTACGTCATGTCAGGTAGAATTAGTTCTAATCCTACCCGAAACGACGTCAAAGCGGGTACGATTAGAAAAAATTAATATAAATGAAGATATCTGAAATCGCCAAAACTAAACAAAGACAGGGAAAACAATTATACCATTTAATTTATACCAATATTTATTTTTAATTGGTTTTTAATGGCCCTGCCAGAACAACGGGAATACCCGCAATCATGATATTATAAGGTAATAGCATAAAAAGAAGCCGACCCGATGAGGGTCGTTTAGTAAAATTTCCTTGGGCGCCGCTCGATTCGGGTCATTTAGTAAAATTCCCTCGGGCCTTCGGCCCTCGGGAATTTTACTAAATGACCCTCATCGAGCGGCGCCCAAGGGAATTATACTAAACGACCCTCATCGGGCGGGACGTTTTAATAGCTAATTCGCTTCTTTTTATGCTATTACTTATAATAATTTAATTAATTTCAATTTGCACCTAGAACTTGTAGTAATTTTAGTTATATTATAGTAACGTGCACAATATATATACACAATCGTAGACTGATTTATCCAATTTTCATAGAAATTAAATTAAATTTTGATCGAATCCTTCATATATATATATATATCATTCATTCATTATTTCATTGCGTTATAGCATTGGGTCAGCCAACCTCGTTCCCAGGGTGGGAACAAGGTTGTTGGGTAAGCCAGTATTGGATTGTTGATGGTCTGGGGGTATATACTGTATAGATCAGTCATAAGTGATATTTCCCCCAGAAAATTGTCAATTTTTTAAGTCCAGAATGGTTTTGTTTTTTTTGCCTTAAATATTTGTATGAACAAAACTCAATTTTTTAATGAAATGCCCATTTTAAATTAAGAACCGCCCATTTTGGGGAATAGGAGACCTTCACCCATTGAAATAGCCTGCATTGAAACTGAACTCAATACCAATATTGGTTATTATACTAGATTTTCCATATGGTAAATTAGTATAAAATATAATTAAACATTATAATGTTTAATATTTTATACTAATTTACCATATGGGAAATCTGTAATAACCAATACAGTAACGGTAAGAGTTCAATTTTTACACGAGTTTTGAAGGATTGACTTGTTTTGGGACCATACACGAAGAACGTGCGAGGAAATTTTCGATCGAAAAAGATATTGAAATTTATTGTATAGTGCCATAGTGGAAACACGAAGATCAAAGATGGCGTCCACAATGGAGTCGCATGTTGGTCGTATCCACTGAGGTCGTATCCTTTTTGAAATAGCTAGATCTCTTTATTTTTTGTTTAAATATAGGTATAGTCACATAGAATGAGTTTATATCTAGCACACTAGCAGTCAACTACAGTTATATTTGTAAAAGTATACAACCTTTTCGTCTGACAAAGGAGAATGTTCCAGTCTGGAAAGTTAACTTTTTGCACGCCGGACATCGATTCAGGAACATGTAACTGTACGCCAATTTTGGAAATGTAAATGCGCAAAAGTTCCAAATACACCTTTTTAGTATAAACCTATTTGGTCCATATTTGTTGAATTTGAACAATTTACTAGTCTATGTAACAAATGTACGCCATTATGTACGCCAAAGTTTGTGTTTGTACACCGGACAAGTCCGGCGTACACACCTTACATTCCAGTCTGGAGAATGTTGCAGCATGTGCAGTCTGCACATATAAAACTAAAAAGGGCTGTGTAGTCAGCCAGCCTGGATACCCGAGTTAGCCCAATTTAGGCGAGATCTTGCCTTTGTTATTATTTCCTACTAAATTTCATAAATTCATTTCATGTGTAATTGTGTATGTAGGTACCGAACTGGTTTGCCTTGGAGAGATCCCGCCTCACTGACCAAAAATCTTGGGTGACCGGGCTGGGAATTTCCAATATAACCCGGGCTGGTTATTGCTCTGTTTGCACAAATGTAGTGTTGCAAATAAAATTTTCTTGACAAATTTCGATCTTAAAAGGTGAACTATTCAGTGGGTTAAAACCATGAAAGTTGCTCACAAAAGTGCAAATTTCAGGTTCAGGAGTAGTACACCTTAAGTCTTTTGAAACCCAAGTCTCTTCCCTTGAGTCAAATAGCCTTGTGACCTCATGAATTTTTAATATCTGCCAAACAAACAAACGTTATTCAAACAGCTAGACCTACCAATAATGGAACAGAATACAAATTACAAAACATACTGGATTTACAATAGACTAGACTATCAATTAGAATTATACCAGTTATAATTGATCAAATTACAATTTGTTAGGACATCAAAGCAATACTTGGTTACCAATGTTCTCACGGCTTTGTCTTTCATTGTAATAACATACATTAGCTAGTCATGATTATTAAAATAATGAAACGAGTGATCTATTTGGTTAAGCTTGTAGATAAAATCTGCTCTGAGATCAGTAAACCTTGCAAAAAGTGCTGTTGTTTCCAACCTTATTTAACCCATTGAGTGAAAAAAAAAACACTCCCCCTGACAAGTAAAATTGTCTGGCATTAGAGTAAAATAACAAAGTAGGGCGCATCTGCGCGCATTGCCACTTAAAGGGTTAAACCGCAATGTTGACCCGAATTGTCTTATCGTATGGAACATTGCTGTATCGACCAATCTGCTACACATGAATCCACATGAATACTTCTTTGACAACATAAATTATAGATACGGTAGCAGTCATGACTCAGGATGGACGAATGATTGTGGTGTGTAAAATATATCTATTTTATATCCTAAGATTGTTTTGGCCCGGACTGTAAAGTTTTGGTTTTGGTGGAAATTAATTTCCTGTGCAAAAATTCTTGCAATTATGGTAATTTGTGCAAAGTTTTTTAAATTGTAAAAAAATGCAAGAATCTTCCCAAAATGCCACTGGCATAAATTGTCTGGAAAATATTTTACATTTTTGCACATTTTTTCGAAGTTAATAACAAATTAAATTATAATTTTCAATTAGTTTTGCCGTTCTGTTTTAAACTGCATGCGTTTGTTTTTACGTAATGGACCGCTTGTCCATTTCCGGAAAATAATGGACCGCTGAAAGTTCGCCATTTCAGCGGAAGTGACGCTTGCCATATAATAAACAGAAATAATCGGCCGATTATTAAAAATTGGCCGATTATCGACCAATATACACACTGGTCAGATAAGAGAAGTTAACCATATGGTTGCAAGAAAGTCTCCTCTGGGTTGGATGATATTTGATTTGACGCTCGGTGATCCAAATAATAGACAGATTTAGATCGAAAGAAAGACGACGTGAAAATGGCGTCAAAATGGTGTGGCATATCCATACATGGGCAGAACACGCCATTTTGACGTCGTCTTTGACGTCCGCGTCGTCGATCTGAATCTGTCCAATGTGACAACCACCGTTCTCCATGTGTAGGTAACTTCTCCAGTGGACCTTCTGATTTTTGGACAAAAGAAGCAATGGGTGTCCAAGTTGATCTTTGTGTCTGTGATGCAAACAAGTTAAACGGCATTTTTTTGTGTGTGTTTTGATGTTATGTACTCAGGTGAATATAATGTTTTTGATGTTACTCTAAGCGTATATGTAGGGTCGCGGGTTCGATTCCCACCGTGGTCAAGCTAACTTTTCAGCCTGCCCGGTGTGGATATATCCTCAGAGTAACATCAAAAAATTAAACCAGGTAGATAGAGAAGAAAAGATGATGACAGAACAGTCCGATAGAAAGAGTACAAAGGTCTGGTTCATTACATTCCGCACCATGCTGATTTCCGACCCGACAGTACAAGCACACCTGTTTGCATAGTCTTCAACTCCTCGTCGTCATATTATATATATCAAGGCCATGTACTCAAAGAATATTGGCGAAAAGGATCCAATTTATTAAACATTTTTTCGGAGTTATACTGCGCTTTAGAGAAAACGAGGTCGCTGTAACCGTTGACATATCCAAGATGTATTATCGAGTTCTCATTCCTATGGAGGACAGACACGTGCATAGATTCCTTTGACGAAATTTGGAAACGGACAAGCCGACGGACATTTACATAATGAATGTTTTGACATTCGTTGACAAGCCCGCTGCTATGGCTCAAAAGACGGTAGAGGAAGGAGAAAGCGGTAATCCGGAAGCTGCACGAACAATTAAGAACAACACCTATATATATGGACGACATTCTCGACTCAGTTGACACGAAGGGAGAAGCCAAGAAACTGACAAGCGGAGTAGACAGAATTCTGGAGACAGGCGGATTCAAAGTAAAAGGATGGCAATCAAATAAAGATCTAGAAGAGCGTAAAACGGAATTGAATTAAATCAAGGTGCCATAAAGTCAAACCGATGCTTGGTGGGGTGTTTGGAAATCCAGGAACTACAGTCTACAGGAACAGGAATTACATGATCTACAGGAACAACATAAATCATAATAATTATTTAATTCTTCGTTAATTTTTGCGGAAAATTAGCAATTTTCGCGCTAAAACTACTAATAATTATAAATTATAACATAAATATAGCACGTGGAGTGCATTTCCACACTAGACACACTACTGCCGTAATAAACGTTTGTTCAAGATGGAAAGCGAAAGGTTTATTTCTAAAATGACGTCTTTT